GTTCCTCCAGGACCCTAAGAGACTTGCAGTTATATTAATGCAGCATTTGGGGAACCACAGACATGTTGATGAGTATAGGTTAGGTGATGGAGTCAGCTCAGAAAGAAAGGATGGGGATCTACATCAAGCCTGAGCTATACTAAGAAGGAAGAGATACTTGATCACAGGGATGATATAAATTTTCCCCTTCCTAGTATAAAGCTTATCCATATTTCTTATCTATTTGTCTCCAATTTTTCATTAGTTTTTATGTGGAGAGATCCTTCCTGATGCCACTGTTTTTATCAAGGGCTTTATCTAGATGAGACCTTTTTTCTCTTTTGTGAAATGAACAGGCTACATCATGATTGTCAGTCTCTGCTTCTGAAGATGTCTTCGTAGTTGTTCACGTTAACTGTTGCTATTACCATCTATAATCCATCATAGTAGGTATAATGTATAGGTACTTTGTGATTGCTTCTGCCATGTGGTAGGTGTGTGGATTGTGGGGAGTGGAGGAGTATGGTAGTATCTTTGCCTGTTCTTCTAGGTTACAGAGCCATACAATCAAATACAAAGCACATAGACTAAGTGGCTTCTGAGATTCCTTCCAGTTTTAGAACCATGATCCTATGATGCTGAGTTTGGGTATTTATAATATTTCAACTCATATGGGGAGGTAGCTTGATGGAGAAATCTAGTCTAATGGACAAACTAGGATATTGATATGAGGCTTTGTTCTTGGATAAACATACTTGCTTATTCCTGTTAATGAGCTGCATTAATTTTACTTAGAAGATGAAATGGTAAAAATATTTTCTAAATCAAAAAGCACATTTGCATTTTAATATAAATGTAAAGTTAATAATAAACTTTGAGCATTTAGAAGTCATATATCCATAGATTAACCATTCAATCTAACATTAAAGTCTAGTATGTATAGGAATGGCGGTGCATTGCAATGAATAGATAGCCAGGCTCAAAGTCAGCAAGACCTGGGATCAAGCCCTGCCCCTCATTTGCATTGGTTGTATGACCTTGGGGAAGTCATTTAATCTCTCAGTTTACCCAGGCAATTTTAGGACCATGTAAGTTGTAGAACAGTTGCCCATCTGAATTGATGGAAGTAATTCCGTATGCCAATGATATCACAGGTCCAGATAAAAAATTTGCAAGGTACTGTACTAAGTGTGAAGGATATAAAAATTGTAGGATCAAAGATTTAGAGCTGGAAGGGACCTTGGAAATCATTGAATCCAATCTCATGATTTTGCAAATGAGGAAAATGAGGTTACACTTAGTAAGTGGGAGAGACAGGATTTAAATCCAGTCTTCATAACTCTAATTTATTCTTCAATATGTCATGAGATGAATAATGATACAGTCCTTGATGTCAAGTAGCTTGTGTCTAGTGGGCAGATATGATAAAGACAACCTCCTAAAGATCTGTAGTCTCACTGGTGGGGCTATTCCCTCAATGATAAAAATCACCACCATCCATGCCTACTATCGTATGCAACTTGCATTCCTGTCGTCCCATAAGCTCACCACAAAAGGTCCACCCAATATGTGAAGGACCTTCCTCAAATTCTCTTGATATTGTATGGCTGCCAGTGGATCCTATGGCCTTCCCATCATTTATCGTCCCTCACTTTTGCTAAGTGACTAGCTCATCTTTTTTCTGCAATATACTTCTTTGATGAATTTTTTTCCTTGGAGTCTGAGTCTCCATATTTTACACAGGCTGAAAGTATAAGGGCTACTCATGGTCCCAATCACACTACTGATAAGAAGAGGACCCTTCACATGTCCCATTTCCATCCTGGGCCAGTTTGCCCCTCCTTAGGTATCCTGGGGGGCCCCTACTTCCAGTGAATCAGCATACTGGTACCAAACTTAATGCAGACACCCAATCAACTTAGTCCACTGTTTCTCAGAAGTCCTGAGTTCAAGTGACTCCCCAGTAGTGGGGATTACAAGCAGGCACCACCAGCCCCAGCATGATGACATTATTTATACTGTTTCTCCTACAAAACTCCTTATTAGCAATGTGTTGTAGCCCTACTCACCATGTAGATCTCCACTGCACTGTCTATGAAAGTCAGCAAAAGACAACATAGAATGTAAAAAGGGGATCCATACAAAATATTCTAGCAATTTTTAAGAGAAGAGAGATTATTTTCAACTAGGTGGATAAGGGAAAGACTCATTCAGGAGTGGCAGCTGAAATGTATCCTGAAGGAAAAGAAAGATTTCAGCAGATGGAGATAAGTAAAAATGCATTATAGGAATATGGACTGTCTTTTATGAATGACAGTAAGAGGGAAAGGCAGAGTGTGTTTGAAGATCAGCTATTAATCTAATTTAGCTGTAAACATACATAAAAGGCATTAACATGAAGCAAGGAGGAAAGGTAGGTTTGAGTCAGATCATCAAGAGTTTTAAATACCAAGCTTTGGGATCACAGTATATTTTATGTGATGTATAATAGACAGCTGCTGATTACTTTTGAGCAGGAGAGTAACATGGTCAGACAGACCAGTAGCATAGGAAAATTTTTATAGATATTGAGTATACGATGGAACAATACAGGTTGACACCCTACAATTTATCATCTTAGTTGAACCCAGGATATCCTGGGTCTGAAACCAACTTTCTATCCACTGTGCCAAGCTGCATTTCTCAATGAGGATGAGGATGAGGACGAGGATAATGACACTTTTCTCGTAGTACTGTGAGTTAGGCAATTTTTCTATAGGGATACACCTCTTTTCTGATTATAGCAAACCTCAGCCCTATCTTGCTTTTTTCTTTCACTTTATACAGTATGATATAGCTTAATGATATAGATCACTTTAAAAGAAATAATGTACTAAAGTACTTTACAAATGTTTAAGCGCTATGTAAATGTTAGCTGCTATTATTGCTCTTGTTATTATTTTATAACAACCATTACAGTAAACAAACATTTCATTTAGCATCTACTACATTGAGAACACTACTTGAAGGTAGGTGAGATACAAAATTTAGATAAGACATAGTCATGTAGTCATGGCGGTCAATGCACTGCCACTTACAGTCTAGTTGGGAATATAATGCATATACAAGTAAGTATTATTCTATTTTTGCAAGGGAAACCTAAACAATTGTGGGAATGACAAAGTGAACCCAAAATGTCTGGGTTCCATGCTTTTAGCTCACTTTTTAACCACTATGAAATAAAGGAGTTGGACTAGATGATCTCCAATGTTCCTCCCAACCATTAACATTCCATTAACTTATAAGCTCTATGATCCATTTTAGAAAAGAGTACTTTGGGAGGGGCAGGATCTTGGTCCATCCCCTGTCCCTGGAGTTTGTCCTCCCCCAGCCTCCTACCCTATCAGCAGCCTCTTGCCCTTCTACCTACATTCCCATCAATCTCAACATCTTATTGCTTATTCAGCAATTAAGATGCTTCTAAAAGTGAATGAACATTGATCATAATTCAGTAGTTAACTCAAAGAGGGTTTCGAGATGTATGTGGATTTTTCAATACAACCAATAAGTAAGAAAAGATTGTAAGACCAGACTCTATTCTCTAGCCTATTGAGTAGATTTTGAAACACGGTTACTATGATAATGAAGAGAAAAATGATCTCTAAACTCAAGGATCATTACTCTAGAGACAAAAACACTGCCAGTGATTTGAAGTTGTATTGTAAATACAATGCTCAGCAAGCATTTTCACTTCCAAACCCAGGGCTCAGTCTGTAATTATTTTGGGTAATAGTTTCCATTCATAACCCTTGCTTCATTAAATTCTTCCCAACCTAAATTGCCTTTGTTTTTCTTTTATCTCCCTCAAAGCATTTGTCATCTGCGGATTCAGGCTCTACAGACTACCTCTCCCCTAGCTGTTACAGTACCTTAGTGTAAATGATGCATTGTCCTTACATCCAGGATATTATGAATAGAATTTTTTTCCTATAATAGTTATTTATTTAAATTAAATAAATGTGCAGCAGTTACAGATGGTTAGCTAACCTCATCTTTTGCACAAACATGCTTATTAAAAATGTTTTGAAAATTAATGTCTTGATAGATTCTTTTGACGTGATTACTTCTTATCCCATTCTTCTCTCTCTTTTCTTTCACATATAACCTCCTTCAGATATGGTTGAAGGTGTAATTTGTCCTCTTCATATTTTGTCCACTGGTTTTTAGGCAGTATCTGCTGCCTCATGGTCAGATCCAGAGCTCTCTTGATACGAAACATCCGATCATTATACAGATTCTCTGGAAGCCTCCTTATGGCCTCTTTAACATCTTCATCTTCATAAAGTGTGTCATCACGCATTAACCCAAGTTTGTTGAGTCCTGCAGCATTGTAATACCACTTCCAAAGACTCTGGAGCCACCGTCTTGATGCTACAGTAGACACTCGTGTCGCCATCTTGATCTGCAGAGCTGAATAGAATATTATAGGAAGGAAACAGGACACCTGAGTTCTAGTCCCAGGACTTCTCAATAATTAACTGTGTTACTTTGGTCAAGTCATACAGGCTCTTTGGTCTTAATTTTCTCATCAGCAAAATAAGTGAATTCAACTGCACAATCAGTTTTGAAAAGTATAATTCTGTTATTTCAACTAGAGAGATTAGAAGAATGAGCTCTCAGACTTGGGAAGTAGGGTCATTATGGATTATGGAAGGTCTTGAATGCTAAATTAAAGTAGTTAGACTTTATTTAAGAGGTAAGAGGGATTGGGTACTTTGCATATGGCCCAATGATGATCACATATGCCATGCATAAGGGAATGATTCTACTATATCAAAGTCTAAGAGAACATTTGAATATGTGGTTTGATTATACCCTTGACTGTGGATTTATGTAAACCTCTAAATTGTCCTTATTTGGGGAAGTGGGGCTGGTAGGGATATTTATGCTTTTAAAACTGGTTGCATCTAAGTTTATACCTTTCCTTTACATGAAAAATCTACTTCTTGCCTTCTGAAAGTCTTTGTTATTGTGCTTTACAGTTAGAGATCGGGTAAGATCAAAAATGGAGAGAGATATTTTGGCGGAAGTGAATCACCCTTTCATCGTCAAGCTTCATTACGGTAAATACAATTTTTAAAAATTGACAAATGGTTGTAAGGACTTGGGGCAAGTTATTCCAGATAAAAGAGCCATCAAAAGGTAGAAAGAAGAACGTTCTAATTAGTTAAGCTCTGTCTGATAGATTGGTCCTTCTGCCTAGCTCTCTGCATCTAGTTGCTTCCCCTTTAAAAACACAATGACCTATTTATTACAGCACCTATTAAAAGATATTTCTTTAAATGGGAACAACTCAGAATTAGTAAATCAATTCTTAACTAGTCTGACTGTAAAGTTCTTATGTGTCCCAGATTGGGTGATTTCAACATTTGTTCCTGTTTTCATAAACAAATAAAATGCCAGAGAGAAAATCATAATGGGCAGATGAACCAAGACCCAATAATCTCATAAAAGAATTTTTGCATTTTTCTTTGCCATTTTATCTTCTCTTGAGTGGGAGATTTTTACGGTTGCAGAGAGAAGTTGCAAAAAAAAAAAAACTGATCTGCCAAGAGACACAAGTGATGAAATTCTGGTTACGTTTTTACTTGAGCCTTAAGGATTCTCCTTTATTTTAAGAGCTTGGCAGTGATTTAGGGCCTGCAATGCTACAAGATAGAACAGAAAGACAAAAACTTGTAAGGGAATAAAAATATTGGGAGATTATTAGTGAAACTAAAATATAAATGTAAAACAGAAACAAATGACTTTAGGGAGAAAAAATGGAGTTATCTTTCAGCTCACAATACTGCCTAATAATTTATTCTTAAATTGATCAGAATAAAAAGAAGCTGAATGCATTTATTTAGAAATTCTTATAAATCCAAGAACAGTGGTGCCTGCCTGTAATCATAGCTACCAGGGAGGCTGATCCCTCCACAGACTCTCACCTAGTCCCTGGGTCACCAAAGGAATGCATTTGCAAGACAGTTGACCACAGCTGGTTGTACTGTCTGCTACCTGGAACACAGCAAAAATAACTCACTACACAAAGCATTCTAACACATACACTTAGTTTCATTAGCATGTTGCCATAACCAGCTTTGCTAACCAGTCCCAGATGCTTCCATAAAAGAAGTAACACAGTGACATCAATTATAAAGAATACAGTCTTATTGAAGCTATAGGGGAAAACATAGTATTCTCTAACTCGCTCAGACTTATGATGTTATTTATGGTGCCTCAGCTTTAAGCTGTTGCAGTCCTATAATCTTCAAAGCCTTTGCCATTTATTGTACTTATCTAATGTATCAGAATATATTACATATTTATCAATAATATTGAAATAAAGGTTTATTATTAAACTTGAATCAACTAGTTATATTCCATATTCCCTTTATTCCTGCCCGTACCCTACTCAACTTCAATAGTAAGACAGATTCCTTTGTGACAAAAAGAAAAAAGGAGTAGGAAATACCAAAACCCTAGATTTAAAAAAAAAAAAGACAGTAGAGCTATTAATTTTAGGCCATTTTATTTATTTTCTCTATCCAGGTATCTGTTCTCCCACCTGAGTTCCTGTATCTTTTCTGGAATGACTCAGTTTTATAAATGGATGTTATTATGTTGACCAAAGAGAAACTTTTAAGTACAAAGAGACGAATCAGAATGAATGAGTAATGTCCAATCCAAGGAGAACCTTCATCACTGATGACCTATCCTACCTTCTTTCCCAATATAGCTTTTCAGACAGAAGGAAAACTGTATCTAATATTAGATTTCCTACGAGGAGGAGATCTTTTCACCAGACTCTCCAAAGAGGTAAGCTTGTAAGCTGAAAGACATGTGAGTTGCTATAGCTTTCCTTCTTGAATTCAGGTTAGAGCTATTAAGGATGCAAGAGAGATTTGATGACGTGAATTTGTTTTATAAGGAGAATGTCATGGGGCAATGCAAAAGAGCCATGAGACCATAAGGCATTGCTGAGAGACCATAAGGCAAATAACTCTTGTATGGCTCTGTATGGTGAGAGTGACGATAATTAGACTTCCTGTACTTCCCTTTATAGAGAAATATGAGCTTGTTATTCTGATTGCAATCTGAAGGAGTTTCCAGATTGCTTTGTAGTCCTTATTGGAAGGATGCTTTGGGAACAAAGCTTTACTACCCACACTGGGTGAAAGTCTTTAATCACAGTTTATTTTCAGGGACATCTATTCAAGTGCTCCACAGTGGAGATGGATGGCTTTTGTGTTCATTAGTAATCCTCAATACAATAACAATGATAAGAATAACAGTAACTAACATTTCTATAGATTGCTCACTTACCATAGCTAACTTACTATGTGCCTGGTGCTGTGCTAAGCACTTTATAATTATTATCTCATTTGATCCTCACAACAACCCTGAGAGATAGGTGATATTATTATCTCCATTTTACAGTGGAAGAAACTGAGGCAGACGGAGGTCAAGTGACTTTCCTAGGGTCACACAGCTAGTACGTGTTTGAGGCTGGATTTGAACTCAGGTCTTCCTGACTCCAGGCTCAGATAATGTCCAACCTTCAGTCACCTTAAATGGAATATTTTGCTACAGTGGGATGAACACTGGATTTGTAGTCAGAGGACCTGCATTTGAATCCCAGCACTGTCACTCACTACCTGTGTGACCCTGGACAAGTCATTTAATCGATCTAGGAATTAATTTCTCATCTATTAAACAAAGGGTTGGAGTAGATGACCTTATTATACTCTTGCAGATATAAATCTATGGCTATATGATCCTTCTCTTCCCTAATTAATCTAGCTTCTTGAAAGACATGCTGCATATTAAAGTTCAGAAAAATCACAGAATTCTACCGGCAATAATGACAACACTAATGCATACATTCGTCAACCAGCATTTATTAAATACCTACTGTTCTCTATATGGGGCAGCTAGTTGACACATAGATAGAGCACTTGACCTAGAGTCAGAAAGATTCATCTTCCTGAGTTCAAATCTAGCCTCAGAGACTTACTAGCTGTGTAACCCTGGGCAAGTCACTTAACCCTGTTTGCCTTAGTTTTCTCATCTGTAAAATGACTTGGAGAAGGAAATGGCAAACCACTACAGTATCTTTGCCAAGAAAACCCCAAATGGGGTCACAAAGAGTTGGACACTACTGAAAAATGACTGAACAGTAATAAGTATTTGCTATGCATTGTGCAAGACACATACAAGACAAACAGTTAAACAACCTTTATTCTCAAGGAGCTTACTGAGGCAACCAATTCCATGTGCAGTATGAAGGAAGTTGAGGTTAAAGTGACAGAAATTGGGAAATTCAAGAGGGGTAAGATAATGAGTTCAGTTTTGGACCTATTAATTTGAGATGTGTCTGAAATATCCAGTTGGAAATGCCCAATAGGCAGTTGATTAACACAGAGCTGTTGTTCAGGGGACAAACAGAGGCTGAATATATGTCTGTGAGTCACATGCATAAAGATGATAATTAAATCCATAGAAGCTGATATTAACACCAAGAGAAAGTATAGAGATGAAGAGGACACAAGTTAGAGCTTCAGGGTACATTCGAAGTTGAGGCATGATATGCATTATAAGCCAAAGAAAATGACTGAAGGATTGGCTTTGGCAAGAAGAGTCACCTTATCAGCAAAGATTAGAAGAAAGTAGAGAGTGGGGAATGTTGGAATGGGGTTTTGAGTTGAAGAAAAGAAGAGGAAAAAGGAGGTCATGTCAAGAGGCCCTGATTTCCTCTATAAATAAGAGAAAAGGTCCTCAGCTTATCCATGGGAAAAGGCAGAGGCTTTGAAGGACGGCTTGAAGAGAAAAGTTTGGAATATATTCTAAGGGGAGTGGGATAAGGAATCAATTAGGGAGAAGTAATAGGACTGTCTTACATCAGTAGGGGCCCAATTGAGGTTAAAATACATAAATGTGTAGTATCCCCATTAAAGAAGACACTGGTCAAGAATCAACATTTTAACAAAATACATTGAGTACAGTTTGGGTTTCTGATGTTGTCTAACCATAATTCTACTTACTGGACTATAGGTATGAGATCTTTATTTTCCATCCAAGTACTTCCACATTGTACATCAAATGACTGGATCTACCCAAGTATTTTATGTTCAATCTGTGTTCCACTAAATGAAACTTTGTCCTTTGTACATGCCAGCTGTTAACAAGGTATCATTTGACCTGTTTTGTGTCTATTTCTATCCATGGATCACTGAATATTACTGTGGGTGGCCAATCTTGAGTTATTTTTTTTTTGTATGATCCCTTTCTGTGATGCCATATGTCCACAGGCTCTTGAATAATAGCTAAGTACCTGACTGATAAAATAGCAAAGTGAATAAGGAAACTGCCTGTGTTGGTGAAATTACATGTACAACAGTGATGGGGAAAGTAGTAAGCAACAGTTATACAATCATATACAGAGAGATAAAACGGACCTTAGAGGCCTTTTGTCCTACCTCATCATTTTTCAGATGAGTAAACTGAGTTTGAGCATAGTTATGTGATTTGCCCAAGGCCATACAGGAAGTAAACAACCAAAAGTAGGAGTTTCACCCAGGTATTCTCACTCTAGAACCCAGTGTTTGTTCCACAGTCATGTTCTTGATTTAACTTAGCAGAATTTTTACATTATTCTTTTCCTCAAATCATGCATAAAGTTCCAGGAAAGTATGACTTGCTATGTTGTGTTGGTACATCAAAGGTGGACAGACCATAAAGATTTCTGGTGAGGGATAAGAGAGGATTGGCTCTTTGGTGCAAAGCAGCTCCCAGAGAGGAACTTCCTCTATCAGTACAGTTCCACACCTTCTCTACAACTTATACTCTTAGAAAGTTGCTTAGAACATTGTAAAGGAAGGAGAGAGGGAAGGAAGAAAGGAGGGAGGAATGAAGGGAGGAAAGAAGGAAGAAAGGAAGGAAGGAAGAAAAGTAGGGAGAAAGAAAGAGGGAGGGAGGGAGGGAGGAAGGAAGAAAAAATGAAGGAAGAAAAGTAGGAAGAAAGAGAAGGAAAGGAAGGGAAGGAGGAAACAAGTGTTTAATTAAGTGTCTAGTATGTACCAGGCCCTGTGCTAAGTGCTTTACAAATATTTCACTTGATCTTCACAACAATCCTGGAAGGTGGGTGCTATTATCATCCTCATTTTAAGGTTGAAGAAACTGAGACCAACGAAGGTTAAGCAACTTGCCTAGAGTCACACAGCTAGTAAGCGTCTGAGGTTGGAGTTGAACTCAGGTCTTCATGACTCCTGGCCCAGCACTGTATCCACTATGCTATGTAGCTAAAGTTAAGTGACTTGCCCAGATCACACTGCTAGTCCATGTGAGATGTGGGATTTGAATCTAGGTCTTCCTGGCTCTAAAGCCAGATCTTATCCATTACAATTACAGTACTATGCATTAAAGATTTGGTATCATGAATATATAGCTAACTTTTCATTATTCGTGGGCCAGTTACCCCAACACCAGCTATTCCAATAATAAATCTTTTTTCAAAATTCCCCAAATCAGCTAACGGTGGAAGAGTGGTGGATTTAGAGTCAAAGGACTAATTTCAATCTTGACTCTACCATTTATTACCAATATGACCTTGAGCAAATCACTTCACTTTTCTGGGCTTCAATTTCATCATCTGTAATATGAAGGGGCTTGATTAGAGCACCTTCAAAGTACCTTCCAGCCCAAGATCAATGATCCTACCTTGAACATGGAGACTGTCCACAAAGCCTTACTCAAGCCCATTAGGGAAGCCTTTTGAAACTGACACTACTTCTTTCTGCTCTCTCTTCTTTCTTTCTCTCCCCAAAGAAGGAGTGCAAACCTCTAGATTCAGTAATTTTGCAGAAGATCTAGGAATAAAGCCTTCTTTTCCTTATTCTGAGTTAAAGAAGGAGTTGAACAGGGTAGAAAATCTGGATATACTTGCTAATTTTTCTTGTTGGGTTTTCAATATGGCTCCATTTTTTATTGAAATGTTATGATTATCCAGAAAAGAAATACCTATACTTATGTATAAGTACAAAATTACAGCCTAAGGTAAAGTAACCAGGGATTGGGAGAATTATCAGCTACTCTGCTCCAACATAGTCACCTCAATGGTTGAAAGATGTCTCCACATTTCATTTTTGCTTTTACTTTCCTTATCTTGAAACTACGAACTTTTTTTTCCATCAGAAGAGCCAAAAATGACTAGGTAGTGGGAGCCCATGGTTTTCTCACAGAACAAATTGAACTAAATTGTATACTTTTTAGGAGAAATGAGTCACTCTTGCTGGCAGAGCTCTCTAGAACAAATCAGCCATACAAGAAAGTAAACGGATTTCTTCTTTTCTCTCTTACTAGGTAATGTTTACTGAAGAGGATGTGAAGTTCTACTTAGCTGAGCTAGCCTTGGCTTTAGACCACCTCCATGGTCTAGGAATCATTTACAGGGATCTAAAGCCTGAGAAGTAAGTAAGGGGAAAAATGCAAAGAGAAATGAGAATTCCTGGAATACACATTTGTGACAAGTGTTAGTAACACTGAAGCCTTCACCCATATCCACTCTTCCTTCCCTAAAAGTCTTGGTGTTGCAGACCAGGGTTAGAAAATCTCTGCAAAGCAGACTGGGAAAATCTTCATGCTGTCAAGTTCCTAGACAGATTACAGGCTAATGAATGCTCTTCTCTCCCTGTCCCTGGAAAAGCCACCAACCTGCTGCCTTTTGAGACATATTCAGACCCTCCTGAATACTGGGAGAAATATTTCCTAAAGTAAGGTGCTAGCTCCATCATTTTTCAACTAGCACTGAGTTTTATCCTTCTTTCCTCCTCTCGACTATACATAGTTCTTTCAGATGTTTGATCAGACTCAAGGAAAATGAACTTCAAGCTTTTCTCAATATAAGCCACTCAACATATATATACACACATACACACACACACACATATGTATATATGTATATGTATATATATTTCTACATATATTTGTTTATATATATATATATATAGTTGTTGTTTAGTTGTGTCCAACTCTTCATGACCCCATTTGGAGTTTTCTTGGCAAAGATCCTGAAGTGGTTTGCCATTTCCTTCTCCAGCTCATTTTACAGATGATGAAACTGAGGCAAAGAGGCTTAATTGACTTGCCTAGGGTCAGGCACCTAGTATCTGAGTCCAGATTTGAATTCAGGTCTTCCTGACTTCAAGGTCAGCACTCTAACCACCGTACCTCCTAGCTGCACCAGTATACTTTTGAGCCAATTGGCTTTCAAAGACACCTTCTCATATAGTAGAAGGTCAGTTTTCCCTTAATACTCCTTATAATCAGCCAGTGATTTTATTGCTACAATATCAGTCAACTAACATTTATTAAGCACTTACTATGTAAAAGGCACTATGCTAAGCACTCTGTGTTTAATCCATACTAAGAATGAAAGCAGCTTTTTCAAAATACCTTTTCTCTTTCTCTTTCATCTATAGTGCTAATATAGACAAGATAGCCACTCAGAGACAACTAGATTTAATGCATGATATTTTTTTTCAGTTCTAATTGGCCAGTATAAAGTAAAAATTCTTCTCTGAGGCAAGCTTCACTAAATGTGTTTCAGCTTTTTTTGTTTGAAATATCTGCATATTCATAAACAAAGTTTGCATGCTAAACTTCATCATTGTGAGGGAAGGAATTCATTGTTTATGTGAGATTGTGGGCATGACAGCCCACATAAACAAGGACTTTTTTTTTGGCATGTCTTATTAAATTGCATTTGAACTATTTTTGAAAGCTCTAGCTTGAATCTTGACATAGAAAAGTAGAATATTTTATTAAATAGACTGTCTTATTGAAAAGCTGATGCAAAAAGGAAATATTTTTAATTTCTGTCTCTGATTCTTAGATAAATGCTTTAATCTTTCAGCTACTGACCTTTTGGTTAGTTTTAAGTATAAGATAATACTTGAGTCTTTTCTGTCATCTTTGGTAGTTACAAAAGGTATCACTGAAAATAAGCTCTAAAACAAGCTTATCTTTCATTTCTTGGATGTTGTATTATAAAAATATATGACTTTATACCTGCTTTACCTCCCATAGATGTAGAGGGTAAACAGACATTCATGTGTGAGAGAAGGAATATATGCATACATATTGAGACAATGGCAGCTGATTCCATTCTCCTTTAAATGTTAAAGTGATCTTTTAGAGTTTAAAAACAGTAACATTTAATTGCATCACTTTAAAAAAAATGTGTTGTTTATCTCAAAGTTATTAGATTACCATTCTTGAGAGCTGTTCATTTCTAGGTATGAATTGTGAGTAAGACAAACAAATTTGCTTCATCAGCTAAAAAAGGGCCTTATAATTCTTTGGAACATACTTTTTTCTTTTAGTTTTTTTTTTAACACATTCACAAAAACTGTATAAATATTTTTCTAATGGATTTTCGATACAGAATGCATTTATGTATGATAACAGATGATAAAATGAGATAATGTGTAAAGTATTTCTACCTTCCCAAACTCATTTGTCTAACTCTGTGTGTTTGTATGTGTATGTATTGGTGAGAAAAGAAAAAATAACAGAATAAAATGTTTTCCAATTTGGTTCCAAAGAAAATTCATGTTCTGTATGACATGAATAACACTTTTGTGAGAAACATTGCGATGCTAACAGACATTTTTCTTCTAAAATACTAAATATTAAATTATGCATAAAGCATTCATGTTCAACCAGCTTGGTCATAAAAATAAGTTTAAATTCCTTTATTTTCTGCCAAAATTTCCTCAATTTCTCCTTAGCCCATGAGTATTCTATCGCCTTAAGATTCCCAGATCAGTATTTATAGATTGTTTTCAATATACTTTAAATCTTAAAGTATACTGTGGGTAAATTAATTTGGAAAATGTAGCCAAAAGGAACATATTTTCACCTCAAACAAAAATTACCACCAAAATCATGTGTTAAAAGGAATAGGGAAATCAAAAGATATCATTTATTCATCTTTACACTCATCCGTTTTTTTTCCTCCTGGCCCAGATCCTTCATACTGTGGGCACGTGGCAATGTTTTCTATACACATGCATCCCTTCTTAATTGCTGCAAAATTCAGGCATACTAGAAACACATTCCAGTCATTCCTGGAGAGCTGACCTGAACCCCTGGGAAGCATCCGTTCCTACCACCCACTCACCCTAGGATTTCTGAGACCATCCTGGTTTCAAAGAAAGTACTTTTAAGTGCTTCTGAAGTGGAGTAGCCATCAGCCAGAGTAGTTTCTGAACTTTCCTAAATTCTGTCTTTTTCCTCAAGAAAAGATAGATTTTGGGAAATTGCCAAAACAACTTGGCAGAGCAGTCCAGAAGTGTCTGAATCCTGAGATATGATTGAAAGACACTTGTTGATTTTTGGCAGATTGAACATACACCAGAGGGCCAAAGGTGCCTTCCCTAATTCAATTATATATCTTATATTTGACTCCACTGTGATGTTTAAAAAGTTTGAGAGACATAGTTTCTGGGTAACTTAACCATTTTATTAATAAGCCCTAGTGTGTTATTAATAAAAAGAAGTCAATGGCACTCTCAAATGCCAAAGACTCTCCTGGCAGCAGGCTCAAGGCTTACGTGGCCTTGGAAAAGTGGGTGTTCCAGAGGGTGGTGGCAATCAACTCTGATTGGTTAATGAGTAATGAGAGATAATGAATATTACAATGAAGGGCTAGACTTATTCTAATGAACTTAGATTGTATCATTACTTCTAAATTACTACTCCCCCCACCGTTCCACCCCCCCACCCCCACCTTGAGCAAACTAATCAAAGAATTTATCCCCACCCAAACCTGAGTTTTAATGAGATTAAATTCCTCTAAAATTAGGTGGGATCAGACTAAGATTGAGGAGAGTTAATTCAATCTCATTATCAGTAATATCCTTCAAGAGATTGAACCTTGAAATGAATACTACAAAAAAAAAGAAAACTCTGGATCTCCCCAAATCATTGGTTATTAATAACCATTCCTCTAACCACCAAGAGGAAACAGTTTGAGTAGAAAGTATATCGTCTCCAAACCCAAAACTACATAGACAAACATCCCATTGGCCCATGGTCCATTCCGTTGGCTCATTTTTTTTTTCTCCCATGCTAATGAAAATCGTTCTTTCCACTGTCTCTTGTGGTTTAATATGCTGGGTCTTTTTCTAAAGTCCTATTTTCTTTCCTTTAATTTTAGCATCCTGCTAGATGAAGAGGGTCACATTAAGATTACAGGTTTGTAAGACAGCTCTTACTAAGACTTCATCTCAGCCTTTGTAAACTTATATGTTATTTGAAAATGAAAAGATGCACTAGTACAACTTCCATTTGTTTGCAAGTACCTTTTCAATTGATTTTCATAAATATTTTTGGTGATCTGGTAGGTTATGATCCATTCTCTGCTATACTTTAAACTCTATTAAATTGTGATTTTTTTAAGTCCCTCCATTTTTTTTTATCTCCCTTTTCTTTCCTGTTCTGTCATCTTACATCCTCCAGTTGAGGCCCATTTATACTTCTTAATGCCATTAAACTGCTCTCAGCAGTAGAATGATGCTTTGGTCAAGAACCTCTATATTTAGATCATATTTTAGAAGCCTTCTTGCACTTGGGTATTTGTCTACTTTTCTCATAAGCTTAAAAGCAGTGGGGTGTGGCAACGAATTTGAGGAACCCAAACGAAATTTCCCTAATACTTGTTGATAGAACTTCACCCTGCTTACAGGATTGGACAGCTATTGTACCTGTCAAATGGGCACAAAGTTAGCCAGTGAGGGCTCTCTGCCTTCTCTGGCTTCAGCTTTGTCTGCTGCCCTCAGACCAAGGCCATGGGAGGAGTTAACACTTAACAAGCTGAGTAATTGAACTGTAATAGACACCTTCCAAAAGTTTGACTGAGGTGGCAATTAAAGGTAAATGTGATATTTTGTGGAGCCTTAGGCGTCTGTGATGATGCTCTGCCTGAAGTTGTAGTTTAAATTACCCAAAAAGTACAGAATTATCACTGCTACCAAATGGCAGTACTTTCTGGGATTCATCATTTGGGAGCTCGGAGCTATTCAAGGGTATTTGTCCATAGACAAACATGCATTTTGAAAAGGCTATAAGAATGCATTTAGAAATGCATTTGGAAAAAGTGGGTCACCACGAGACTTAGCCAATCAGAACCAATGTGTCTGGAAAATGTGATTGAACATGACCTCACTCTTTTGAGATACTGGCTTTGATGAGACACATGGGAAGGGGTTATGATAACCACTGTTATATTTAAGATGTATTTTTTTTCCATGTTTAGATTTTGGCCTGAGCAAGGAGGCTATCGACCATGATAAGCGAGCTTATTCTTTCTGTGGGACAATAGAATATATGGCTCCGGAGGTGGTGAATCGACGAGGACACACGCAGAGTGCAGACTGGTGGTCCTTTGGTGTGCTCATGGTAATGCCCCATTCTGGTCATCCTGCTTGTTGTAGTGATCTTTTAATCATTCAGGAAAAAAATGTGCATTGCCCCTTCCCAATCCCCTTTTTTTTCATTGCTCCTGGACTTCCTCAGAGAAGAAATGTACTCAGTAATTTAACACATCAGAAAGAACTAGTCAGTGGTCTCTCATCCTATAAGCCTGTGCCTGTCTTAGTCTGCTGGGTCCCTTCCCTTCCTCCAAGATATGAGTCATAGAATCTCAGAGCTAAAGAAAACCTCAGAGCCCATCTAGTCCAACTGCAGTGGAAAACAAAATCTCCACAACATAAATAACAAGTGATCACCAATCCTTTGCTTAAAGACTTGTAGTCAGAGGGAACCCACTGTGTCATGGCACAACACATATAATTTTTAATAAGTTTAATTGTTGGGATTTTTTTTATTCCACAAAGCTAAATCTGTTTCTTTTCAATTTCTACACATCTAAGCTGAAAACATTGAAATACTTCATTCTTTCTTTAAAAATACATTTCATTGGTGCCTTTGTTTATAATAAGTAAATGAAATGCAAAGATTAAGTATACTAATTTAACAATGAAGAGCAAAAACCATATGTATCTATCTATCTATCTATCTCCCTGAGCTCAAATCTAGCCTCAGACATTTATGTGACTGTGGGCAAGTCACTAAATCCTATTTGCCTCAGTTTCCTCATCTGTAAAATGAGCTAGAGAAAGAAATGACAAACCACTCCAATATCTTTGCCAAGAAAATCCCAAATGGGGTCACAGAGAGTTGGATATGACTGAAAAACAACTGAACAACAACAATCTATCTGTGAGTGTTTGTGTATCTTGTGTATCAAATAAACAGCTAGAGAGTAGCATCCAGGACTTAAACCTGGGCCTTTTGACTTTGAGTTCAGTGCTTTTCCAATTATACTGTGCTGAACAAGGAGCATGTTTTCCAAACATTGTCTAAAAATGGGAGGAACAGGGACAGCTAGGTAGCACAGTGGATAGAGCACCGGCCCTGGAGTCAGGAGGACCTGAGCTCAAATCTGGCCTCAGACACATAACACTCACCAGCTGTGTGACGTTGGGCAAGTCACTTAACTCTCTTGCCTAGCAAAAACAAAACAAATAAAAAAGGGAGGAATCCTATATTTAAAAAGTACTAAGATAAATACTAAAATAAATAGCAATAAATAAGCATTAGGTGTGTTCCTTTTTCTTCATCGTAGGCATGGAAAATGACATTTGGACACTCATAGAATCGCAGAATTTTAGAATTGGAAAAAACTTTTAAAAATAATCTAGTCCTATCTCCTCACCTAACATACCCAAGGGAGGCTCAATGACTTCCCAGAATCACACAGATTATCTAGTAGCAAAGCCACAAAGATAACCCAGTTCTCCAGAGCCTGAGTAGAGTGTTCAGACTGATCTCACCAGTTGTCTTCTATCTCTGTAACTTCTGCTACAATTTTTGACCAGAAGGTATCATCTTGCCTTCCATAAAAATGAGCTAAATGTGCCAGCTTTAAGAAAAACCAGTAACTAGCTCTGGGACCAAGTTGATAATTTGGTTTTTAGGCCCCTGGACTCCTGGGGATTCCAAATTCCTCTGAGATACTATAGTGATAGGAAATGTCTGACCTTCCAAGATTCCAGAGAGAGCATATTACAATCAGTGGCTCTTTACTTTAAAATTTATCTTTTTTTTTCTCCCTCTTTCTCTTCCTTGTATGATGTTCAGTAGCATTCTGTTGTGATGATATTTGTCTCTGTTACCCTTTCCCATTAAAGCAAGCCCTAAAATCCTGAAAAGATGACAGAGAAGAAAAAGAAACCAAGCTCTTAAATGATTTCTATAACCATTTCTTATGAACTGCAGCAACAAAGTTCTATCACCTAGCAATCATAGGATCACTGAATCATAGATTCGGAGCCGAAGGGACTTTAGAGGTTACCTACTCCAACCCCCTCATTTTTAAGATGAGGAACTGAGGCCCAGAGTGGTAAAGTTACTTCCCCAAGGTCATATATGTAGTAAGTGGAATGGACCAAATAAGTTAAAATAAACAGAATTTAGTTTGAAGGAGAAGGAGTTAGGAGGGAAAGAGAAATAGAAAACAATTGACACATCAGCTTTATAAATGAAAAACAGAGATGAGGAAATCTATTTAATCAATATGACAAGTGAAAATTAAGGCAAATTAAGGCAGAGAAACAGACCAGCATTTCCTGCTGTCTGTAGAACATTTCTACCTGGATGAGCCATTGGCATCTCAAATTCAGTGTTTTTACAAAACTGACCTAATTATCTTTCCTCAAAAAACCTTTCCTTCTTTTTGAATTCCCCATTTGTTTTAATGCCATTGCCATCCTTCTAGTCACTCAGGCTTAAATCCTCAGAATCAGATTTAATTCTTACTTCTTTCTCTATCTCCCACCACCAACCCAGTTAATCAAAAGTCATGTTGACTAATTATATGTTCACCATCATTCTCATATCCGGTCCCCCCTTTCCACTCCCCACTATTCAGATTCTCATTCATTAATCATTTGGATTATTACAGCAGTTGTCTACCTCATCCCCCTTCAGCCTCTTCCCCCTCTAATCTTACATCCTTCACACTGCCAGATTAATCTTTGTTAATTAATTAATCTTCAAACATTCCTAATTCTAGTACTTCACTACTCCTATGCCTTTACTGGTTCCCCCTTGCTTACCAATAAAGGCCAAACTCCTTAGCCTAGAGAAAAAGAATTCCTTAGAGAGACGTTCACAGAAAATCTCATCTCACAAAAACTACTCATGCCAAGGAGAGTCGTTTTTAAGATAATACCACTTATGACTTTTAAGATAGTGCCACTTACGGAATGTTCAGAACCATAGGCACAAACAGAGTTATAACTCATTAATGTCCTATAAGTTAATATGTCATAACCCCCCCAATAACTTGGGGCAGTTAGGTGGCATAGTGGGTAGAGCACTGGACTTGGAGACAGGAAAACCCACATTAAAATCCTGCATTAGGCACTGTGTAACTATGGGAAAATCACTTAATCTCTCTTAGTCTCAGATGTCCAGTGGGGATAATATTCCCCACACCTGCTCTAAGCTCACCTTAGGAACTCCCTGAGGTCACTTAATTTTACCTGCCCCACATGTTACTGACATCTAACTTGGCACCTGCCTAATTCTTCCTGCCAGTTGTGCCATTCCAGGGGCCTAACCATGGTTCCAGTTTAGCACTGGCTCCCATACCAGTAACTGTCAACAATTCTTATACTGGGACTGAATAACTTTCACTACAGTGACTAGCTGTTTCATTGCATTGACTAGTCAGCTGTTTGAAAAGTACCAAAGTGGTAAGTAACTAGTAAGCCATCCAGACAAAGCCGTTCCCCACACCAGGGTTCTCATCACATTTGGGGTATGCCACAAATTCAATTCAACTAACATTGATTAAGCTTATTTGTGTAAGGCACTGTGCTGGAGATAGAAAACTGTGAAATACAATAGCACATGTATAAACCATATCAAACTGCCTACCACTTTCAGAAGAGGAGAATGGAGAGAGGGAAGAAGGGAGGGAGAAAAATTGAAACTCAAAATCTTGTAAAAATGAATTCTAAATATTTTTCTTAATATATAATTGGGAGAAAAATAAAATACTATCTAAAGAAAAAAAGCATCTAATCATTAGACAGAATAAAAACAAAAGAAACAGTGAAACAGTGCCTACCTTCAAGGAGCTTACATTCAGCTGAATGTAATTTTAGAAAGGAAAAAAAAAGTAATTTGGGGAGGAAGAGAGCATTACAACTTGGGAGATCATTTGGAGGTAATGCTTATGCCAATCCTTGAAGGAAGCTAGGAATTCCATGAGGCAAAAGTGGAGCAGATATGCATTTCAGGCATGAGGACCACATATTGTAGACATAGAGGTAGTAGATGGACTCTTGAATGGAATTCTTCATGTAGCCATGTAAGGCTACTAGTCAAGTTTGACTGGAACATAGTATACAGGAAGGGAAGTAATGTGGAATAAAGCTGGAACAGGAAAGTAGAGCTAGACTAGAAAGGGCTTTATCATTTCATCCAAAGCATAAAAGAGGGCATGATACCATTGTCATGATACTTTGCCTTGTATACTGCTCAATATTTTCTGAGTGTGCTTTACACAGAGTCATTTGATTAAAAAAAAATCCACCTTGGTGGCAAAAAAAGAAAACAAGCCCAGAGAGTTAGACCATTTGTTCAAAGTAACTCAAGTAGTTTGTAGCCAAGCCATTTACTGGACCCTCTCTCCTGACTGCTAGCTCTGTGTTCCTTCCATAGATGCTCTTCGTATGATAGTCCAGTATATGTCAGCCTAATGACCCATGGCCCATTCCAGGTATGACTGGTCATCTGCAGCCTTTCCTAGATGGCTAGGAAATAGCTATTTATGGTAATGAAGAATAAATGTAGGGACTGGACCTGTGATTTCATCAATGTAAGGAATTCTTGGGTTAGGAAACTCCTTCTACCAGGGCAGACAGGCCCTTCTCTGTGACTTAGAGTCTTACAGAATTGTTTAGAGCAATGAAAGGTTATGTGACTTGATCCCAAGTCTTTCTGGATTCAGGGCAAGTTCTCTATCCACCATGCCACACTCTTTATAAATAAGAAATTATTAATTCATTCAATTCAAGAAATTTTTAATAAAATTTTATTAAATGTTTTAAATTTTTAATTCAATTCAAGAAATGATTCATCTTTATATGCAGCTTTTAAGGTTTAGGAAGCAATTGTCTCACAGCAACTGAGACCAGATTTTGTCACTTTCTAGTACACCGCTTTTCCCCTATAAAGTGTAAATACGTTGTGAGCCTTCTCTCTGATGTATGGCTGCCTCAGTGTCATAGGTAAGGTTTAGTACCAAGTCCTTCTGTGTGCTACTACTTTGTCAGAGAATGGAAAATCAGAGGAGAGTAGTGATTGTCTCTTTGTTTTCACCTCCA